TGCTGAAACTTTTGGATGTTCCTGGATGATAAACGATTCCATTGCATCTCACTTCCTTTGCTTTCAAGTCAACCAAACTTGGGGACATGTTCACCTCCAGGAAGGAGGAAAATGAGTAATCCACCCCCACCCCCACTGCCGTGTCTGACAGAGAAGCCAAGGAGCACTGCCCCCGGGGGGCCGCCAACGGTCTGGACGTGCTCTCCAGCCACATGTGTCTGAACACACTGTGAACTGAACCCACACTCCACGTAGAGAACCTAAAGCCCTGGCTCTAGCAGCCCCTCTCTCAGCCCTACAGTGCAACAAGGGCTCCGCCCAAACAGGGGAAGTAAGGGCCTTACCTGTGCTGTCCTCCCCAAGGCCTTCCGCGGCCTCCCGAAGCTTAATGTCCATCACCCTCGTGGAAATCATGTCCAGCTCACTAAAATCAGATAGAAAGTCACGTTAGAGGAGCAAGTCTAACAGAAGTTATCAGTGACTGAAATGGTGGTGACTGCCTTTTGCCCATGTCCCTGGCAAAGACAGATTCCAGGTCAGTAGAGGCCAAAAACATGTCCACAGCTCAAGATTAGTAACCACATCAGCATTTATCTAATCACTGACCAGAGCCATTTAATGGAAAACTGGAAAATGCTTCACCGATTTACACAATGCAGATTTCATTCCTTTCTTTGAAAAAAAAATTTTCGGAAATTAGGTTTTTCTCTTGTTCACTGTAGAAAGTTTGGAAGATAGAATGAAAATCACCCATTATCCCACCAACCAAGAATGACTAACTATGGAACGTTTTAATGTATTTCCTTCCAATATCTTTTATGCAAATATTTATGTGCACAAGCACACATGCACGATATTAGTAAGACTGAGTTCCTGATTTTCTTATCCCACATCAGTAAAATTCTTGATGCTATTGTAATGGCTACATAATGTTTTGATATTATGCTGTACCATCACTTATTTATATTGTTTCTTTTTTGAACTTCTTATGAAAAATTTCTAACAGATATAAAAGTACAGAGAATGTATAATGAATTTAAAACATGGGGACTCTTGTTCATTTTTACCCCCTCTCCACTCCCCGCTAACTAGGTTATTTCAAAGCGAATCATTCCACGTACCAATATCATTTCATCCATAGGGACTTGCCTTCTCCCTAGATTAAAAATTTCTGACTCTTCATGGAAATCAAATAAATGATTACTGGTCAATATTCCTGCTCCAGAGTACTGAGCTGTGTCCCTGCTTTCCACAACTGACTTTTAAACAGCACATCCTATCCCACACAGACTAACTCCTCATTTACTTGGAAAGCTATTCCTTACTGGCAATTACTATGAATTCCCGTACTTTAAAAGGGAGCTAAAATATTTAATTAACCAATTAACATTTACCACTTGCACACAGTACATAATGGGAAATGATGGGAGAAATAAAAGAAAACTTAACAGAGGAAAGAAGATGCAGGTCTTTGCTAGAGCTGGGCCTAATATTTAGGTCTCCTTTAATATTAATGTCAAACTGCCCCATCCCTGACCAGCCAATTCCTTAAAAGGTGAACAAACCTTCATTAGCCTTGCTTCTTGATTTTGATGTAATTTGGCTTTACAAAAATGTTGGATCAACAGAATGAAGGAGAAAAACACCACACACACAAATCATCTCAACTGATGCAGAAAAACCATCTGACAAAATTCAACACCCTTTTGTGATTAAAAAAAAAAAAAAACGCTCAAAAAATTAGAAATAGAGAAAGACTACCTCAGCATAATAAAGGCCATATATAAAAAGTCCACAGCTAACATTGTACTCAACACTGAAAAACCAAAAGTTTTTCCTCTAAGATCAGGAACAAGACACTCTCACCACCATCTATTCAACATAGCACCGAAGCCCTAGCCAGAGCACATAGGCAAGGAAAATAAATAAAGGGCATCTAAGTTGAAAAGGAGGAAGTAAAATTATCTCTGTTCACATGTGACACGATCTCACATGTAGAAAATCCTAAAGATCCCTGCCACACCGCACACACACAGAACCGTTAGAACAAATAAATGAATTCAGCAAAGTTGCAGAACACAAAATGAACACACACACATCAGTTGTTTCTATAAACTAACAATGAACAATCCAAAATGGAAATTAAGAAAATAATTCCATTTACAATAGCATCAAAAAGAATAAAGTACTAAGGAATAAATTTAACCAAAGAGACAAAAGACTTATATCCTGAAAACCAGAAAATGTTGATGAAAGATTGAAAGTAATGCCAATAAATGGAAAGACATCCCATGTTCATAGATTGAAAGACTTATTATTGTTATGATGTCCATACTACCCAAAGCAATCTACAGATTTAATGCAACCTTTATCAAAATCCCTGATCCCACAGTATCCTGCTGCTTAATGTTACTATAGGGGATGGGGCGGCTACCAGAGGATTTGAAGAAAGAGGCAGTAGAGAAGGAGCAATGCAAGGAGGAAAGAGAGTAAAAGTGGTAAGATTTGGTTAAGAGTCACCAACTACTACCCCGGATACCATCTTCTATGGCCGCCACTGAGCTAGAAAGTACAAGTGCTTGAGTTTCTATTGCTTGAATTTGGAGTTAACAGCTGCAATTACTTATCAAGCATGCAGCGTATCATCTGATTGTCTCATTTAATCTCCAAGAACTCTAAATATTCCCATTTTGGAAATGAGAACATGTATTATGTATCAGGTAAGTTTATTAACTGGCCCAAAGTAGTGAGGCAGAGACACCAACCTATATACCCATACTGACTGTATATGCAGGGTGTGCAGGCACTTATGAGGCCTTGGGGATACAGCGATAGATGAGACCAACTTGGTCCCTGCCTCTTGCACGTGCTGACCCAGTGCAGTGGAGCATCCTGAGCTGTCCCCAGAGGGGCTCAAGGGAAGCTGGGAAACCCAAAGGACACCAATCTCCCGCGGAAATGGCTCTGCCTGCCAAGCAGCCCCTGTCCAGCATCAGGCCAGGCCCAGGGGCTGAAGGAGCCCCAGGAGACCATCCATTGGGTCTGACAGGGCATCTTAGTCTGCAGGGGGTTGGGGTGGGTTGAGGCTGCCATGATTTATCAGCTAACACTCCTAGGAAACCATGAGGTTACCTTCAAAATGTCCACTTCTGCACAGTTTACAAAATGTTCCCTGCCAGGAAGTGCTGAGAACATGCAAGTGTATGTGAGCGTGTGCACAAGCCTCGGAGGTGGGTGTACAGGAGGGCGCCCATCCCGCTGAGGGTGGAGTAGACCCAGGAGCTCAGAAACGCTTCTCCCTGGATTGAACAATGTGGCTGTGATAAAGCCCTGTGCACAGGGCAGAGGGCTCAGGAGCAGGTGGGAGGGTGAGCGGGAGACACGAGAGCATGGCCCGGTCCTCACCTTGCTGGAAGGTACGTTCTCGGCAGGGGCCCAGGTGCAGAAAGCAGCACCAGAGGCCAAGGCTGCTGATGAACTCACGCTCAGAGGCAAAAGTCACCCCCTAGACCAAGGGACGACAAGTCAGCCTCACCCCACGTGGGAGGTTTGAAAACCTGCTCATGTTTGATGTTCCAAACATCTTCTTACTAATAGGAGTGCAGTATGATGCAGAGGAAAAGGGAAAGACTGGGAAGTGAGGCAGCCCTGGAGCTGAAGCCGCATCCCACCACTTATCAGGGCGGAGCCTCTGTTTCCTCATTTACAAAATGGGGGCAGTAACACTTTAACTAAGTGGGACTGAGAACACAGCACATACAAGCACCCGCTGAGAAGAGCTGTCAGTTTCTGCATCTCGTTTCTCACCACGGGCTCACGCCTCTGCACGACTGCAGACAAGAACACACATCACTGGCACGCCCTAGGGACTGGCCATGCTGTCTCCTGTACGCACAGTCTCCCTGCGCAAACGGCTCGCTTTGGAGCCACCAGTATCAAAGATGAAGACACCTGGGCTCCTAGATGACCCCTGATCTTCGCAACGCTCCACAGCCCGATGGACCATGAATGAAACTGCTGCCAAGGAACTGATAAAAATATATTCCAGGCCACGGAGGAAAGCCCTCCACCTGAGACTGCGGGGTGTGCAGATGGAGGACCGTCCCCTTCACTCGAATGCTCCAGGTGCAAACACTCTGCAGCTGTTACAAGGGAACGTCTTCTCTGTTAAGCCCAATAACTTGCCCTGCTGAATACATGTTCCCCAACCCGAGCAAAATTGAAGAAAAAGCCAGAAGGACAACCATAATTAGGAAGGCAATGTGGTAAATAACCAGTATCTCCCAGCACCCTTTTGCTTCTCGCTGTAACTCAAAGTTCAAGTCAAGTGGCCCCAATGTCCCCTCAACCAGCTTCTGCCCTCCACCATCCCACCCCGTTGCTCTGACAGCTCAAGTCCAAGTACAGGAAAACTGGTTCTTTAAACCTGGACCTGAGGGGGCCTCTTCAGGGGTTCTAATTAACTCAAAAGGGTGCTGAGCCTCCAGACCCCTCTGCACAGCTCTCATCAGTGTGCATCTGGGTGCCTACAGGATTCAGGGGAGTTCTGGATCCAAAGAAGGATCTTTGTGAGGGCTGCCCCACTGCCTCTCTCTGAACCCTAACTCACCATAGGCTTCTCCCCAGCTTCCAGCAGAATTCCATCATTAGTTGCAGCTTATACTGAAAAACTCTACAGAAGTTTATTCACGTGAAGAATGAGAACAGATTTTAATATGGTATTTTAAAGGTACCCATCCATTACACTTATTTACACAGTGCAAAGAAAAAGATCTGTATCCTGATTACATACCTCTGAGCCCATAATTGCATACAAAAACCTTAGTGTCCACCCCTACAGACCCACTCATTCCACACCACCCTTCAGGCCCTGTTTGCATCTCTGTGGTATTCTGTCTCAGCCCCTGTACCTGTCTTCACAATGCTCATCACAGCTGTCGACAGCAACTTGTTTGTTAGGTGTCTGCCGACCACTCCCCTCACTTCCAAGGCTGTGAGCTTCTATGCCTGTCACATCCATTGCTCTCTTACCAGCAGTAAATAATCCAAAAATGAAGTTAAGAAAACAATTCCATTTACAACAGCAAATACAAGAGTAAGCTACTCAGGAATAAATTTAACCAAGGAGGCAGAATACCTGTACTCTGAAAACTACAAAACATTGCTGAAAGAAATTAAAGAAGACATAAATAAGTGGAAAGCTATCCTGTGTTCACGGATCAGAAACTTAATATGTTTAACACAGCAATACTCCCCAAATTGATACACAGATTCAATGCATTCCCTTATCAAAATCCCAGATGGCTTTTGGCAGAAATTGACAAGCTGATCTGAAATTTCATATGGAAATACGAAGGATCCAGAACAATCTCGAAAGGGAAAAACAAAGATGGAGGACTCGCACTTCGCAGTTT